TATTTAAGGAGTATTGGGCTCTCTGGGTCTATTGGCCCGGAAACTCTGGGCCGGGTGCAACCCTCAAATGCATCGGCCTAAAGCCTAAACCCTAGCCGGTTTAGCATTCAGGGAGTCTTGGGCTCATGGTTTAGGGTTTAGGGTTTAGGGGTTTAGGGTTTTAGGGGTTTAGGGTTTAGGGTTTAGGGGTTTATGGTTTAGGGTTTAGGGGTTTAGGGATCATGTGATCTGCCTTCAGATGCTTTCGCACTCATCTCGGGCGTCTCTGTAGTTCCGTTTATGGGGTAGGAGACTTGGGGGGTTCTTGGCTTGGCGCTTGCTGCGGCGGCCAGCTTTGGGTCCGGGCCAATTTTAGGGTTTAGGGTTTAGGGTTTTGAGGTTGAGGGTTTAAGGGTTTAGGGGTTTAGGGTTTTGAGGTTTAGGGTTTAGGGGTTTAGGGGTTTAGGGTTTTGAGGTTTAGGGTTTAGGGGTTTAGGGTTTAGGGTTCAGCTCAATCCTGGAAGAAGTACCTGAGCCCGGAACCCTGAATCCCCCCAAACCCTGAATCCCGGAGAGTGTCGTTAGCTTCTGGTAGACCATCTGTTTCGGACGTAGTGTCTGCAGAGGTTTTTACTTGGGTTACGGGTTTCAGGGTTTGTCTAGGACATTTTCAGGTGGGTAGTTACTGTTATAGGAGCCTTATAGAAGGTCTATATACCTTATATAAGCCTTATGGAAGCCCTATATACCCTAAACTCCCCACCTGTAGTTTCCCTTAAGTTTGGGGTTCAACGTTTATGGTTTAGGGGGGATCCTGGAGCCGTGGAAGGACCCTCTAAAGATGACTATGCATGAAATCTTAGCTACTGGAGCACCAATTGCAAAGAAACTGTGCCGGGGGTTTAGGGTTTAGGGTTTAGGGTTTTGGGTTTAGGGTTTAGGGTTTAGGGTTTAACGCTGATACAAAAGGCATCGCAGCACCAGCTCAATCAAGCAATCAGTGACAAGGTCCATCATGGTTTCATCCTGTATCGTGTTGTAGGCTCTGTTGGCACGGCCTTATTTCGGTAGCCCTAAACCCTAAACCCTCAACCCTCAACCCTAACCCCTAAACCCTAAAGGGCAAAAAAATGCAGTACTCGTGGCTCATCGACGTTTAAGGACACCCAAAGCCTTCTTCTTTTTGGTCTGAATCCTAAGCTCTAAACCCTCTATCCTCAACGGTGGGTGCTTCTGGCTCCATCGGTAGGATCTATCTGTTTATGTGAGGCCTCTGCCCTTCTGTGTGTGTTTGCTTTCTTGGCGGCTGCTTTGCGTTTGTCTGCGAAGATTCTTCTTGAAGGGTGTTGTAGGGCCATTGTTTATGAGGCTACTATAGGTGTTTGCGTTGTTTTTTTTTTTTACGCAGGCACCTCAACCCCAAAACCCTACTTCCCTCACGGATCCGTTATGAACCCTTACATATCTCTACACAAGCCCTTGAACCCAAAACCCAAAACCCTAAACCCTAAGCCCAAAGCCCTAAACCCTAAACCCTAAACCCTAAACCCCTAAACCCCTAAACCCCTAGACCCTGAGGACACTCAGATTGGAACTGGTATCAGCGAGTTCCTGAAGAGAGGAGTCGCCGGTCTCAGAGTTTGGCGGTCTTGGCTTTAGGTTTTAGGATTTAGGGTTTAGGGTTTAGGGTTTAGGGCTTAAGGTTTAGGGTTTAGGGTTTAGGGTTAGAGTCTAGAGTCTCAGATTTTTTAGAGGTTTAGGGTAGATTTTGGGGAGCTTCCCACTGTACGCAAGGCTGTTGGAGTTCGGGTGGTCGGCAGTGGCACTGGCTGCTGCTGGGTCTGCTCCGATGCTAACCTCATGCATGTAAAACGTATATACACATATTGCTACTTGTGCTGCCGCATCTGTAGGTATAAGCACAGACTGTAAAACCGAACACAAACCTATAAGTTTATCAGACACACAGACACAAACATACGCCTACACAGGTGCATATACGCAAATGCCCGCGGGCATTCATGCAGGGCCAGGAGGCATGTGCAGATTGTCTTTCAACCGAGTGAGCGTGAATAATTAAGCGAACCGAGATTCGAACGAGTGAACAGAAAAGCAACTAGATGCATCAAAACTTGCACCAACATGAATAAACACAGAAGTATGCATCGGTACATACACAAACAGGCATGCACACGGGTTCACCTACACATACGGCTACACATACACTTTGGCATACACATACACATGCCCAGACACCTACATACATGCATACATATACACATACACATACACACACACACACATACATGCACACATGAACACATACCTGCATGAACACATCAGCACATTCATAAACCCATATTTCCATCCAGACATACCTGTCGCCATACACACACATGTACACAAAGTACGTAGTGGTGGTGGACATCCTGTGCATGGCTTATGTACGTGTGTATGCATGCATGTATATGTATGTACCCTTGCAGCACACATGCGTGTGCAGATGTGTTTATGTGTGTGTGTGTATGTGCGGGTATGTGGATGTAGGTGTGTGTTTATATATGTGTTTATGCATGCATCTATCTATCTATCTATCTATCTATGTATGTATGTATGTATGTATGTATGTCTGTACAGACATGTGCCTACATGTGCAGTTTGTCGCTCGCTGCGGCGGCAAAGGTCGCACAAGCAGCACAGAAGCCGGTGAAAGAGCGGCCAGAGGTCGGGGTATGCAGGGCTTTGGTGATCTGGTTGCATGGCCAGACCGGCGACCCATTCAGATTTCTATGATGCTCTGTTCAGGAAATATTGAAATTGTTGACTGGCGAGTGGCAGGGGCGGTTTGGATGGGTTGGGGGCATGGATTTGCTGCGAGGGGTTTCAGCCACACTGGCCCATGGTGCCAGGCGAACGACACAAGGATGCAATCCGGCCACGAATTTCGAAGATAACTACGTAGATGGGAAATCCGAATGAAACTACAACAACTGCAGATATAACACACCGGAAGGCAGAATTGTGCTGAGCACATAAAGTTGGAAGCATGGGTCACAAGCTTGACGACGAGTTCAATGCTCTAAATAGCTACGTTTAGGGCAAGGTTTCGAAACATCGGAGTCCAAAGATCGAAGAAATCCATGCGCGAATCCTCGAAGTCTCGACATGGGGACGGAAGAAGGATGCTGACTTAGCGTCTGCAGCAGGTGATTTCAGAAAAGAAAGACTGACATCGCCAGAGCAGTATGCCAGCAGAGCGCCAGCTGAACCCATGTGACCTTACTAACCGCCGGTTTAGGGTTTAGGGTTTAAGGTTTAGGGTTACTACCCCGATCTGTCTCATGGAAGGACCTAGGCAATCGGAGGAAACTTTGCAAACCACTACTGGCAGCACTCTGGGACAAAGTGCGCTTGCCCGTGACCACGCTTGTAAGCGTTCCCACCCAAAGAGTTGGACAGCAATTTGGCCTAGGGCATGGAATTGGCGGGCAAAGGCAGAGTACCCGGGAATAGGCAGGGCATTGAGACAAAGGGAGGCAAAAAGTTCTTCGACGTCACCTACTCTTACACTACACCTAGCCCAAACAGACTCTGGGGTCTTTGGTTCTGAGTCGACAGGCCGGTTTGCAATTGCGTCTTGGACGACAATGTAAGAACCCCCAGGGGCGCCATCAACAGCTTCAAACCCATCTAACCTAAACCCTAAACCCTAAACCCTAAACCCTAAACCCTAAACCCTAAACCCTAAGGGAGCCCCAAGAGAAGGTGAGAGCCCATGGTAGCCAAGGGAGACTCCAGGCAACCAGTGGCGCGGACTGAAAGGAATTCCGAAGCAGTCGGGTTTTGGGGTTTAGGGTTTAGGGTTTAGGGGTTTAGGGTTTAGGGTTTAGGGTTTAAGGTTTAGGGTTTAGGGTTTAGGGTTTAGGGCCCCCAAACCAGTGGCGCGTGAACGATCTCTTACTCATGCCTATGTCGATGGCAGACATCCGAAAGAGCGGTTTGTACTCAAACCCATCTGGTTAAACCCTAAACCCTGAAGTTTCTAGGGCTCAAAAACATGAGCCCGTGATACTGCTGGGTATTCCCAACCTTGAACCCTCAAACCCTAAACGCAAAATCTACTGCACTTTAATTAAAAAACGCTAAAACCTAAACCCTAAACCCTAAACTTTAAGCTCTAAGCCCTAAACCCAAAAAAAACCTAAACCCTAGACTCCCCGAGTCCCACGCCCTGGACTCTGAACAAATCGGTACTAGAGTTTCCTTTGACCGTTGTGGTACATTCTACCGTATACCGGTTAGGGTTTGGGGTTTGGGGTTTAGGGTTTAGGGTTCTACTTATCCGTAAACTCTAAACGCCTAAGCCTAAAGCCTAAACCCTCAGACCCTAATCAGCCCTAATCTCCAAGCTGAGCCACCGAAAAAAAGCCCTTCTGCCAGATGTTGCCATCCAAAGACGGTGGCTTCATTGCCACGATCCAGCAGGGTTTCCAAGGCCCCGCTTGCCTTCGGGCGGAAGGTTCAGGGTTGAGGGTTCTAGGGTTTAGGGGTTTAGGGGTTTAGGGTTTAGGGATTAGGGTTTAGGGTTTAAGGTGTAGGGGTTCAGGGTTTTGGGTTTTTTAGGGTCTTCGTGTTTAGGGGTTTGAGGGCCATGGGACTTGAGCTGGGGCTGGGGCTTCGGGCTCAGGTTTTTTTTTGTGGTTTAGGGTTTAGGGCTTAGGTTTTTTTTGGGAGTTTGGTGTCTCGGCGTCCTGAAACTCAGCTGCCATGCGACACGCTGGGACGCTTCATCTTTGCCTTCCCCGGCCTTGTCATGATGTCTTGTCGTGTTGATTCAGCAGTCGTGCTCGATGCTCGAGGAAGATGCAATAGCTCCTGTAGACCAAGCGCCTGTTGCAGTGCAAGGTAGTGCAGCAGGTGCCGGGATGTCGGACAGCATGATTGAAATGTCCTCCCCTGATGCAGTCGACGCCACAGGGAGGTCTGGCCCACCTTTGCAAAGCTCAAGGGCTTCACGGCCCATGGAGGAACTGGCAGTGCTTTTCACGGCAGTCGTTTCTTCGCAGCTGGCCTTGGATAGCTGGTTGGTTTTTGATTTTGTGAGGTCCGGAGGAGATTACAAGCTGATTTTCTCAATCGTCCACACCATTTCTGCACCTGCTGCTGGCCTCTTGGCCCGCCATGTGCCGCGGAATATGCTCATTTTGGTCGCTTCCCTGGCCATTAGTGTGGGGCTTTCCACCTGTGCATTGTCATACTTCCTTTCCTCCTGGATGACCGTATTCCTGCTCGTCCTTTCTTCCCTGGGCTTCGGAGTGGGTTCTGGCCTCATGCAGCCTTTACTTTGGAGCCTGGTGATGGAGAAGAGCGAAGCTAAACGCCGGGGCGCGGCCTTTGGCTTTCTGCACGCGATGTGCCTTGGCTTAAAGGTCTTTCTTGTATATTCATGTTGCCCCAGCATCTGTTCTAAACCCTAAAACCCTAAACCCTAAACCCTAAAATGGCGTAAAACCTAAACCCTAAAACCTAAACCCCAAACCCTAAACTACCCAGGACTGTATTCTCGGGAGTTCTTCAGAGTCAAAATCCGTTCCTTCACGTCCAAGAGCTCATCTGGGTGTGGCCGTTGGCTGCCTCTGGATTCAACCTCCTCACAGGGGCCATGTGGGACTTTCCGAAAACTGGGGGTACCTTAGTTTTGGGGCCATTATAATGACGATCCTACTATTTAGGGTACTACATTAGGGTCCCCTGTATTCGGAAACCCCCGTGTGTCTTGAATGTCCTTCCGGCAAGCCGTTTGTTTCGCATGTGTGTAATAAACCAAGCCCCCCATGCGCGGAAAGGTGCGCTTTGCGTGTCACTGACAGCTCCGTAAAGTCGGAGCCGAACCTTCCGATGATCCTTGGGCGTCGCACATTCTGGGTTCTCGCTGTCCCGGCAGGCCTTTCAGGTTCTCTTGTTCCGAAGGTGGCGGAATTCTACAGCTATTAACTATTAAGTCTTAAGTGTTTGTGGGAGTCTACCAGTTGCGGTGCAAGGACGACTAGATTGTAGTACTTCTAACACATGTAGTACAATGTTGGGTACCACATCGAAGCAATCATACGCACACAAATCGCAGCAGTACTACCTCCAGAGTATGTCTACTAGCTATTAGCAGTTACCAGCGGCAGGGACCTCAGAAAGAGATAGTATAATCCTTATCCGAACTGGTGAGACGGCATATTCAGAAAGCAATGCGCTGCCAAACGCCAGATTATTGTACCAGTGCCAGAGCCTTTGCCTTGGACTAAGCACAGCCATAAACAAATGTGTGGCATACCCTACTTGGGGATCCTTCTAAGGAGCATCCTAGTAGATGGCTCCTCTCTTTTCTGAAACTCCCGTAATGGTACTTGATTGTACTTCATTTCGTCGACACCACAACAATGCAGCAACACAGCGTGATAATGCGTGTCGGCGTAACAGTGTAACGACGTTCCGGATCTGTAGTTGGGTGGTGAAGCAGTTTGTCTTTGCAGCACCGAATATATGTATATGTATATGTATATGTATATGTATAGGTATATGTATATGTATATGTGCATGTATATGTAGATGTATATACCAGCAGACGACGCTGCCAGTGATGGAAACATACGTCGTTGCCAGAGCATGCAGCGACACCGCGCGCAACCTCTTTTAATATCTTAACGGTGTGGGGATGTTATCAGAATGACCACTCCAAGCCATCACGACAACCTCACAGCCGCATCCTGGCCGAACAGCCTCATCCTCACACGCTGTTAGTGAAATACGAGGACTATCACGAGGTTGCTTTCGGACATGTTTTATGCGGCCATTATTCATGTCACTACTGCTTTTGTGAGTATTCTGATTACCGTTAATACTTACTACTAACAAGTTTCTCGACACGCCCATTAGAAGTCTTTGTTTTACGACGATTGACTGCTGCGATGCTGGTGTGCAATGCTCGGCTTTGATGTTGTTCCTACCCCGTGTTTGCTATTGTCGCCTCCCCAAATCCCAAAACCCCCCCACACAATGAACCCGGAATCTCAAGACCATGCACCCGTACGGCAAAGTCTACTGCCACAGCAATGCTTTGGCTGCCGCAGACTGTGATGAGGAATCCAACAACAAGAGACGAGGGCTTCAGGGAGATTTCCCCACGAGTTTCGTCTAGTTTAGACATGTGCAGCCTCATCTGCCTTCTTCGGACCAGCTTGGACGTCGGGTCTTCTTGAGTGGTTCAGCCTCGACTGATCATGTTTGGGCCACTGTTAAGTGCAGCATCTTGAAACAGACTCCAGGTCTGTTGAAAGCTTCCATTCCGGCGTTGACGGCCCAGATTGTGAATTATTTTAATTGGTTTCATCCTTGGTATTTCGATCGAACGGTGGTCTTCATTTACCACGGGCTGGGCCAAGTCATTTCTGCAGTCGTTGGGGGCGTGGCCTTGGACGGCATTGACTCAAACAGCCCCGTCACAGGCCCTCCGTCCGTGCTAACAGCGACTTGGGTTAACTTGGAAACCTTTCGCGCCTCTATGGTGTATATTGTAGCTCCCACCACGAATCCTTGTCGCTATACCGCAGCATGGCTCTGCGACGGCTCAGGAATCTAGTCGTCGTTATCCTACCTACGTAGGTGCATCCCCCGAACCAGCATCATCCCTACTATAGTACCACCTCCCAAACACGCGGCCCTAAACCCAAACTAACCACACGAAAACAAACCCGAGGCCCCCAACTCCCGATCACTTAGAGATTTATGGTTTAGGGGTTCAAGGTTTTGGTTCGCCCGGAAGAGCCCTCCTTTTGGGTTTAGGGTTTAGGCTTTAGGGTTTAGGAATAGGGTTAGGCCTGTGGATGTTTTCCAGTCAAATCCTGACCCCCTAAACCCTAAACCTTGTTTAAGTTGGTAGGTAGGCGCACTATGTCCTTTTCCAACGACGTCTTGCCTTGGTAAAATCAAAATAGACCGCACCTACTTTACCTGCTGTTAGGTTTTAGGGTTTGAGGTTTGGATATCCGATATGGCACGGTAGCAAGTGCAGTTTTGCCTTTGACAGTTCTGAAGTAGGTTGCTTTTAGTAGTACCTTTCTTTCCTGCCCTCGCAAAACTAGAACAAGGATCATGGAGTGCCGAGGTGAGAAGGGTCTTCAAGGGCTACATGGAGAGTTGACAAGTATCGCAGGGCTGGTGATGGACTGTGGGGCGATAGAAGAATACTGTGACCGCTTGCTTGCGCTGATTGCATAGGGAGGTGGCAAGGATTAGAATGAGCATTGTGAACACAGTGCAGTTTGCGCCGCCAGGGCTCGTGGGGTTTATCAGGCGCCACTTTAAGCTGTCGTCGGGATTGACAGACTGCTTCTGGTACAGGGGGATCGACAAGGGTGCTGACCCCAAAGACACTGGAACAAAGGCACTTCCGAAAGAAACCGCACAGTGTGCCGACCCAGCACGATAACGAAGGCTACTGCAATCCTTCCCATCATCGTCATTAGCGTCGGCTTCTTCGTCTTCGACATCTTGCGGAACAGCTTCCTCGGCTCCCTTTTGCTCAGGTCGGGCTAAGGGTTCCACACAGCTGCTGCAGTATGGCTGCTTGGCGTAGCTACACTTGGATGTTATTCTCACTAGTGGCGCCCATGTTGGTGTTCATCTGCTATCATTTCAACTACCCTAAACCCTAAACCCTAAACCCTAAACCCTTTCAACTAGAGTTGCTGAAGCCCATATAGCAACCTCGCAGTAGCCTATACAGATGCCTTTAAGGGAGCCTCAAACCCAAAACCCCTAAACCCCTAAACCCCTAAACCCCTAAACCCCTAAACCCTAAACCCCTTGTTTCCCGTCGAAGGCCGATTGCGCTCGCGATGGGTGCCTTCGGGGCTTGGACCTGGTTCCCGGTGGTGACAGGCAAAATGCTCAGCGACATCGCGCGGCCTAAGGCTCTGAGGGTTCAGGGTTTAGGGGTTT